GAGAAACTAAAATGGCAAAAGTAATATCCTTAGTGAATACAGAGACTCTGGGAAAAAAAACCCCAAAAATAGAAATCATATTCATGTTGACATTTTGCTTAAAAAGTTTGAGTTTTTGAATTTGGCTTTCATTTCTCTGAAATTGCTACAATTCTTTTGAAGAATAGAAGCTTTTTTTACTCCTGCATAATAACTTGCATAATTAATTCCACTCCCTAAAAAATAATTTTTCAAACATTCTGATGACTTTCCATTTAATACAGAGAGACTGCATTTCAAACACATACTTTATAATTCAGAAATAGTTCCTTGGTTTTATCAACTTTCGTAGTCAAAGGTTTAATTGCATTCTGACCTTTTTTAATTTAGTATCGTATATTTAAAAATGGACGTCCTTTTCAGACCTGAACTATGAGCTTTTATTATTCATAGCTTGGTATGAGATTGTGCAAAAGAATGTATTAATACATTTTGAAATAAAACTGCAATATAAATAAGCCGGAAAAGAACTATGGGATCCCACAAAAGTAGTCAAAAGATTTATAAATATTTTAGTATATTCTTTCGATATAAAGTTCACTTTCTAATATTATCTAATTCTAAATTAACAACAATTTACATTCTCAAGTTTTATATTTAATACACATTAGAAATACTTTTTCAAACCATGCCATTATTATTCATTCTCTCTTAGTGGAAAAAATCAAATGCTTCCTATTTGGAAAGATCCTTGAACATTTGTTCAATAACTCAACAAAGGAGTTGTTTATTTCCAGATCTTAAAAACTACTTTGCAAAAGAAATATAAGCATTAAATATTTGCAGAAATTTTAAGGCATTGGTGTATATATAGTTCTCTTTTTGATTACCAAGGAAGGATAAAAACAAATGCTTCAAAACAGATATTAAAACATTACATTGAGCATACGCTACTTACCAACGAATTTACTGACTGCTAGTACATCCCCTGAAAGGGGATGAAAAATCTGGAATAATTTTGAAATTATTTTATTAATTTAATTGCAATCAAAGCCAGAAATTTGTGTAGCAACTTACGTCTTGTTTTCACAGACATAACTAACAAATTATAATCATTATCTATAATCACTTTATCACAATGACAAAATGACAACTTCTCTCCAGATTTGAAAACAAACATTAGGAACCCCAAAACAATCAATGTCGTATTCTTTCAGAAATAAATGTGATTATATCCTGTAGAACCACATAATCTTGCTTTGGCATTATCAGAGGTTTTTTGTTTTTTTTTTTTCCCCTCTGGAAAAAAAATTGGCATTCTTTAAAACCAACTTCAATTTCCTGTTCTCGTCTATAATAAAACCAGCTTCAATGTCCTGTTCTTGTAAGTGTATATTATCTTTTTTACATTTTTCTTCCATTAGGTTGAAACAGGTTTATTTAAACTTACAACAATAGTAAAACTTACCAGCCAGTATGACAGCATTACAGAAATATTCAAAGAGATGCCTGTCTACAAGTAGAGACTTAGTCTCAAAATTCACCAAGAGCACACATATTTCTAAAATTATCTAGTGAGGTCTGATTTGCTTTGTTCCCTTTTTTTAAGAAAAGACACCAAGGTAAACACCATGATTTGTCTGCACAGTTTAATTTTGTTTATGCTTAGGATTAATTTGGTGCAAGAATGCCTCTTTCTAAATTTAGCACATTTTGGAAATGATTAAGCTATATAACAACAGAAAAGCACTATTGTTTCAGAATTATATTCAACACATACAGTTACTCAGAAACAGTTCTATACAGTTCCTGAAGTTAAATTTATATTTCATCTAGGTCCACAGTTACACATAGTCAGCCCTTACAGGTAATTAATCATGGGCTTAAAATTATAGATATGCAGAACTGTCACAATATCAACAGTCATTTGTGTAAATTTTTTGGTACATATTAACCAAATACAATTAATGTATATTAAAGCATTTCAGATTCTCCTGTTCTGTCTAAAAATTACTGTATTCTGTCCAAAGAACTACAGTATAATGAACAAGTGTTTGAAGTGCTAAAAAATAAAAGTCTGACAATTACAGTTTTGATTCAGTAATTATAAAAACATGCAAAGAAGCAAATAAAATACAGCTGTGTGTTTTGCAGGAAAGAACAAAATCCTGTAGTATTTTCCTTTCCTAGTAAAAAAAATCAGGTTGAGACCCTCCTGCATTTTCTCTCATGCACCATTTGATAGACAAACTAACAAAAGTGAAACCAACGACGATATACATTATAACTAAACAGAGCAAAAATCCTCTCTCAACATAAAACATTGATATTGGACAATTACAGCAGGACTAAAATATCATTGTTACAATTCATTTTTTCTTTTTATCCTTCCACTTGATCATGATTCATGCAAATAAGTATACTTCAGCCAAGCTTTTATAGAACATTTGCCTTAACACATTTTGTAAGTAAAATATCTTGTCAACTGTAATGAATTTAGCAGTATTGAGTAAGATATATCACTAAAAGTTAACTTCTTTAATTATATATACAACTAATGAACTGATGAAAATTAGCCAATAGATGTCTTTTGAGTAGTGCAACTCTGTCCTTAGTATAACAAGTGAAAAATATAGACCTTACTTTATCTGTACCTTTAAGTACCACGTAATGATGAACAACATTCTCATCCTTTTGCAGCTCTGGGCAGCTTCTAAGACTTCAGAAGGAATCTAATACAAAGTTTGAACTGGGAAATGCCAGTTTGCCTGTTTCATGTATTTAAACTGCACAGTAATCAATGACAGTTGCATGTCAAACTAAACAATAGTCTCAGATAACTCTATACCTCGGTGTTGTTGAGAGCCTGCCTGCCACAGAACTCACTCGGGATTGATTTGTGACTAAATTGAGTGGCACGGAATAAGGGAAATAAGGTTGAATCTGAACCTGCACTAATACAGGAATGGAATAGTCCAGTACTATGCTCCTTACTTGCATTCATGCTGAAGTTCTGATATTTTTTCTCAAAAGAAAGGATTAGCAGAATAGCAAAAACAAGTCTTGCATGACATTTCAGTCCTACATTGCACAAGCTAAAAGCCAGTGTTTTACTGAAGTAGGTGGTCATTAGGTCTAGAAGACTGCAAATTGTGTTAAGAAAAAATACATGCGGAATCTTTGACTAGAGACTCTGCTGTTGTGACTGTCCAAGGCAGTATGATATCAAACAATTAAAACTACCAGATATAGAAATCAAACACTTTATCATGCATCTGTGGTTGGAAGGCTTGCAGGTAAGTTAGCAAGCTGAAGTGACCCATAAGGATCATCAAATACAACTCCTTTCTCCTCACAGGACTACCTAAATCTAAATCATATGACTAAGAACTTTGTCCAGAAACTAACAAGCACTTCCCTGGGGAATCTGTTCCAGTGATCAACCACCCTTCTCAATGAAAAACCTTTTCCTAATGTCCCATTTGAACTTCTTATGCAGCTCCATTTAATTTCCTGATGTCCTAAGTCAACTAAGCAGTCACTAGCATCATCTAGTGGAATGCCAGTCCAGAAGTATTTCTGTACCTCTCAGTTTGATTTTGAGAAATTAGAAATTAAAAAGCCTCAAGATGAAAATTAAATTCTGCAGATTTTTTGCAGTTATTTGAAAATCACCTCTGGGTCTTATCTGGTGATGAAAGATCAGAGTGCAGGCTTAAGTTGTAAGCTTGTGAGTTCTAGTCCAACAAGGGAATTTCTAGTGTTGCCTGAAGCCCAATTGCACTGGAATCTCACCTCAATTGTGGGTAAAGTATTTTGGGACTGAGATTCCCTTTGCTGCAAGAACTATTAATTATTCTTTGTGCTGATTCAAAACCTCTGTAGGCAACAAAAAAGTAGCACAAATCTTTCTTCTGTATTTCAATAAGCAAAAGAGCTACCTTAAAAATTTAGTTACTATCAAATATCGTACTGCTTACCACACTACAGAGCCAATCCTGTTTGCTTCATTACAAGCAGAATCGATTATAAGATTGCAAAATTCCTCCTTTTAGCGACGACTTAACATAGCTTTACATTTAATTTGGTATCATGTTTTTCACATGAAAAATTATAAACATTTTACAAATCTGACACATTTTGTTCATGCATAGCATGTTCATTTTCTGTAACTAACATGGCTTCCAGCAAAATCTTTTTCTAGTCCAATAAATGAGACAAAAAATAAAGTAATTCACGATAACCAAAATAATTAAATAGTAGGAAGAGGTTAAAGATCAGCATTCATTTTTAAAATTAAATTTAAAAGTCTGCAGTAGTTACTTAGAAGATTGGCAAGTTTTACAAATAACGTCACCAAGCATTTTAGAGAGAAACACAGCCGCATTAGAATAGAGTCATTAGGCAATACATTTATTTTGAAGCCAATTAACCTTTTGTCAGAGAAATGTCGGAGCTGTAATGGTTTCAGCAGTGGAGGTCAGCCTGTAACAGAGGCACGTATGACAGCGATTTCGCTGTCTGACATATGCTGGAAACTCAGAGTACGGCCGTGGAATGAGAATCTGCCTTCGTTTGTATTCTGCTCTGCATTTTCAGGGAGCAGACAATCTTGACCTATCCATTTAGGTAATTAAAGCTTCTATTTGGAAGTGTCCTGCAGGAAGGTGAAATCTGGGGAGATAAATGGCTGCTGCTCACTGTATCCAGCCACTTCCATAATTTGATGGACTGCCTGAAACAGGCTGCATTGCCAAGTCCTCATAAAAATAGAGATGAATTGGGCAGGAGACAATTCTCTAAGGCAAAGCAACTCTGTCATCTTCCTTTTTGCAGCATATAATTTAATTGTTAGCCAAGGCAGACAGCTGACTCAGGGGCCGTTCTCTAATGACTTTCCCACCATCTTCCACTTGCTAAGAAATTATTTCAGTGTATTTACTTGCAAGCTAACTTTGTTGGACAATGAGAGATGTCACTTCAATAAGCTCAGCTGGTTGTCAAGCTGTGCCAGGACTTACCTTCCAGGCGATTTTGTTTCCTCCACACTCATGCTGAACAGCAATTGGAAAGTCTCCTCTCTCATAAAACTTGCGAAAAGCTGTGTGTTTTGCTGGTCTTTCTTTTACTGATCCTGCAGGTGGGGGCCCTCTTACCTTAAAAAGAAAAAAAAAACAAAAAAACCCTTCACAGTTTAGTGATAAAATATTTCTAGAAAAAGTCTAAAGCCTAGCTTAAAATATATATAAAAGAAGAATAATAGTGATCTCCCAAATTATAGTTTGCTTTCTTCTTTACATGCTAAACTTCACTTCTTTGAAATACACTTTGGTAATGATCTACAGGCTTTGTTAACTGCTTTTTTTTTTTTTTTTGCCACTTTCAGATTATTCCATAAAATCTGGCTATATTTTAAAGTAGATCTTTCTATTATCATAACATTTTTTAGCAAAACCAAAACACCAAGAAGGTAGTCACATTAATAGTAGAAGTTGTAGGGAAATTAAGTATTTCTCCTTTTTCTGTTTCTTTCTAGAAGTAATTTGACTTGATTTTCAACTAATATTACTGTTTACACCTTCCACTGTCTTTTGCTAGTCATTAAGTAACGAGATTAGGAAATCCCTTTTAGCATATCCCTTCCCTAAATGCTATGGATTTGGTTTTCAGATGACTTCCAGTCCTTCAGTATTGATGGCTGAAGCAGGGGAAAGGAATGAAGGTCTTTTGCTCAGACCTCTCTTGTCTGCCTGTGAGGAAATTCGTTTTAGCTCCACTTAGTTCCTTATCTGAGCTATTGCTGGTTTAGCATATGGCATAGTCTGAACAACAGTCCAATTCCAAAATGCTCATGCTGGAACCTTTTTCTCAAACATAGTAGTAACAGCAACTAACAATTGGCACTGTGATAATAGAATTTCAAGTACTTAAAAGAAATCTATTGTTTAAGCCAATTAACAAAGCTAATCTCAAATGCTAAGAGAGTCTAAGAGAGCTAAATAATCTCATATGCCCTTGACAACTGATTCTTCACTGTGAAACTCCATTGCTGTACATCTGGGATAAGAACTTCCTACAATTCTCTGTGTGTTTCTTTTGTTAAAAATGCTCAAATGTGTCATTTTCAAAAAAAAAAGAAAAAAAAAGGGGGAACAGCTTCAATGATCATAAACCATACCAAGTATTTGGTATTCTATTTTTCTTCAGTGACCCTTACATTAGTTTCTAGCAGACATCCAGCTTTCCAGTGAACAGAATGTAAATTTGTTACATCCTCTTTTTCATTTGGGCTATTCTGTAATTTAACTCTGCTAACTACAGATCTAAATTTGACTTGGCACTTTTTTTCCCCAAAGTGTTTTCACATAATTTTCCACTGGCCTAGGTAGAGGAGTCCACTATTGATATGCCTGCACTGTACTTTTCTAAAAATTGCTTCAACTAGGGCTACTAAACTGTGACCTGTTGTTGCATATTGCTGTCCCTGATAGACCATGACCAGTGAAAACAAATTTGATATGCACAGCTGTAACGTTGTTTAGTAACCACATCTGAAGCAGTTGAGAGTAATACTCAAAGAAAATCATTTCTAACCAATGTAAGGAAAACTCCACTTGCTGTTCTGCAGAGGAACAGTTTGTTCTATGCCACCAGTGTAAGTACTTTCACTTGGTTTTTTGTGGGTTATTTTTTTTGCTTGTGTGTTTTGTGGGGTTTTTTTTGTTTTGTTTTGGTGGTGGTTTTTTTTTTTTTTTGTTGTTGTTTGGATTTTCTTTCCTTTTCTCATTTGAGGCAAGTCTCAAAGTCTTTGAGGCCACTGGAAAAGCACTTCTGTTCTTTTGTATATTATTCACAAACAGGTCTTTCATATATCCTTTAAAACATTATTTTCTGTACAGTATCAGAGGTCACTGTTAGATTTTATCTTAAATTATTGATGAAGAATATGTCGTCTTGATTGCACAAGATACAATCTGAATTCTTTGAAGCAGACCACCATAATTAGAAGTACCTAATGCAATCTCAAATTACATCTTTTCTGATACCAGACATTCTCTTCTTCCCAACTCATGTCAGTAAATTTGATATGAGCCTTTTCCTACTGCACTTTACAAATTTTCTAAAAAATATGTTTATGTTTATTAAACTTCTACCTATTCTTTATCCAGGAACAAAGATACTAGAAGGACTAAAGATATGTTGGTATCAAACCCCTTTGTTGTGCATTGTCCTTACATTAAGCTTTTGAAGCTCCCTCTTAACCTGCTCTGATCTGCCATCTCAAAAAAAGGCAGTGGTAGAATTAGAAAAGGCCCACAAGAGGATGATGAGTGAAGGCAAATAACAGAATAAAGTGAGAAAATTATTACTATGGAAGAATAAAATACAGAACTATAAAATCATGACATTATGGAGAAGGTGATAAGGGCAGATTTTCGACTATCTCCTCCAGTAAAAGGATGGGACATAAAAATAACATCTAGTCAGTAAGAAGTTTGGGACAAACAGAAGTATTTATGTATTCATGCAGAAAATAGTGGATTTATGGAACTCCTGGCCAAAAGTCAGCATTGAAAATACTAAAAGTTTCTGTACATTCAAGCTGTGATTGGAAGAGTTGATGAAAAAGGAATCCTTTCAAGTTGACTCAATCCTTATTATCAGGAATCATAAATACAGTGAGTATTATTTTTCATGTGATAGGGTGTGTTTGGTAGATCTCTCAGCCTTACATTTAGTCTCATGGTGATATCACATTGGCATCTTATAGTTATCCATTGATTAACTGCCACAGCAAGTATTTTTTTCAGATGATGAGTTCAATGTTATTAATATAGTTTCTTGCCATTAGTTTTAGGTACATTATGTTGTACTTTTTACTATAATATTTAATTACATTTCTATTACATCAGTTCTCAAAGGCTTCCACTTGTATCTGTCACACCATGATTTTCATCTCTTTTAATAACAACTCCAAACATTATGTCAACTATAAATTTCATTATCCAATCCTGATTTTTTCAATGAAAATAATTAAATAATTAATCATTCCTAAAACCAAATATTAAGAAGTTCCATTAATAAATTTCATCTATTATCATATCTCTCATTTCAATATTACATGCCATTATTGTCTGCACTTGAATATGGACATTTTTACCCTCCAAACTCCTCTTGCACTGTATAACTACCAAAGTACTGTGTACAGCTGGAGATGTAGCAGTGTACCAAATACTTGAAAATAGTGTCAACAGAGAGAGCTGTTGTTTTTCCCCTTTGTCTTAAAGATGCTTTTCTTGTCAGATTGGTCTGCAATAGATACAGAAACCTCTAAATACCTGGAAGAGCAACTGACTTCAAAGCAATGAAATGATCAAGACAGAAATAAGCCTAACATCTATCTAGAACAAAGAACTATTAGCAATCAGGAAGACAGTGGAACTCTCCCTGCATTGAAGATACAGTCATGTGGCATGACTGAAGAGTACTATTGTGCTCTCCTTTATTTAATGAAGACAACTGGTTTCATTTGTATCTGACAAAACCTAGCTTATGAGACCCTTGCTAGAGTGGCTGCACTGAGCCACTACTGCTCACCTTTTGCAAACAGTTTCTTTTCCTTCCATCCTTCATTACTAGGGAGACCACCATGGAGCACCATTCTCTAATGCAAACACTGCTTTGGGTCATTCTAGCTGTGCACAATATGCCTGAGGAAAAGTTTATATACATGATTTCCTCTTCCACTTTTTTGCAATTCCTGATCTAAGCCTGGATCACATGATCCCTATTGGCCTCTCTCAGCTGAGGCTTCTCAGTGATTTTATGTAGCTAAGTGAAATACACAAAAACTAATCAGACAATGCTTTTCTTTGGTATAATGAGTTCTGCCTTCTTACATTTTATATTGTTATAATTACTGATAAAAAGGTCATTCTGAAAGTATTCCATTTATTAGAAAAATAGTAACAAATACCAAATACTATCTTCTTCAAGTTAATAAAAATGTTTCATTGCAATATAGTGAGAAAGATTAAGATTAGAGTTCCAGTTAATTAAAGGCTAATATTCATGATGGCAAAGTATATGAAGCAATAAACAGATTCCGAGGCTCGTTAAATGCCAAAGAGAAGTTGAAGGGTTTGATAATTGCAAAACTAATTTATTGTAATTCTATGCCATTGAACTATGTGACAAGATAAAAGATGCAAGTCATTAAGCAAAAAAGAGAGAAAGACCATATTTCCTTCATTGATTCATGGACATTGAAAGCCATTCTACCAGGTTGCAGTCTTAAACTTTTCAGCTATGGCACAGTAGTACAATGACTAAGAAAAATTATTTTAAACCAGGTTTAAATAGTGATTAATATTTGGAGATTGAATTTTGTTCATTTTCTGAGTGTCAAACTGCATGCACACTCAAGGACCTAAACATGTCTGTTTAGGACAACTGGCCATTTTTGTGAAAACTAAGACTAGTTTCATGAGCAGTTTAAGCAAAACAAAAACTAGACTGAGATCCTACTGTTCTTACATAACAATTCATGTCTTGTATATAAAAAAAAAGGACAAGTGATGCAATCAATTTTAGTAAGATTTTTCTTATTAACCCAGACTAATGCATTTAGAAGAAAGAAATGATTACCAGTTCTTGTCTGCCAAGATTCTTACAGGAAAATTGGAATTTAACCCTAGCCTTTTATGTTTTCTCCTCACAAAAATATTTCATTAAATTTATTTTTGAAGCTACAGGAATCAAAAATTATATGACCACTCAACTGTCTTACCTAAAAAAGATTTCCTTGAAAATATATGCCATTTTATCACCTTGAAGAATGAAATTTTCAAAATAAAACCATAAATTCCCATTCTTTGTATTCAAACGAAAAAAAATTATGTGTACACAATTGCACTGTAATCACAGAACAGAATTTACTAATGTCTTTTGTCTCAGGGAGATGTCAAGGTGATGGCATTAAGGAAATGTTTGTGTAACCGCTGACAAACTCTTTGTCTCATCCTCCCCTTGTACTGGTGTTAAACTTTGCTAATGCAGCATAGTTCAACTGGCAATCCACTTACTTCGCCATGGGAAAGATCAGCATTCATTTCCTTGTGTACTGGTACCAAAGCTGCAGCCAAATCCTAACGTC